GGTGGTGATAGGAACCAGATGTCTGAAGAGTATAAAGCCTATAATGCCTTTCCTTCAAAGATAGTACATGAAATGATTGTAATTGTGTTGCCTGAAGCCTGAGACACTGTTTTACAATAGTTTTTCAAAAACGTATTTTTTATAATACCCTCATGGCGGAGAGGTATGTTCAGGGCATTCTAAGGCAAAATAGTCCCCAGTAAAGTTCATTTTCTCCAGATTTGCTACTATTTTACCATTATTAACATTACGTATAAAAACGTAGAAGATGTGTGTTGGTTCACTGGTGGTTTTGTTAAGTGAATAAAATGGCTATGTTTGTGTTGTAGACATCATGACCCTTGGTTCCTATCATTGCCACTGTAAAGAAAAGAGTTGATGAGTTTCTCTACAATGTACCATTTCACATCAAACCACTCTGAGTGACTGCTTACATGTCAAAAACTGAACTATGTAGACATTTTGAAAATTGGTAGAATTCCCCTGTAACGTGTCTCATGAAAAAATTCCATTTGAATGAAGTTCTAAAATTCTCAACACTTCTTCTCATCATCTGCTTCAGTCCTCTGCTGCTCTGTCTCATGAACTCGGTAAACACACTTCATGAAAACTATATTATCATATTTTTGTGTTTTTATGAGCTGTCAGAAGCCTCATTTTAACTGTATTTTTCATATTTTGAAATTCATATTGTCCCACTTTTACTAAACTTATCATACTAGAAAACTAAGATAAATAATATTTTCTATAAACAATTAGACACAATAAAATCTTACAAATTTGACCATAACGTTGGTAGAACCTCTGTGTAAATAAGCTAGGCTGTAAGACTGTTTAGTTAGCTATGATAGTTACTTAGTAACGTTATAGGTTATAGGTTATAGGTAACGTTAGCGACTTATAGGTAGCTAACATTATCTATCTATAGGTACTTGCTTTCAATCTCAACATCACAACGTGAATTAAAGTTGTTAGCTCACTATAAAACTTTCAATTTAAGATGATATGGCTTTAACCATCAAAAAGTGAATAAAATCACACAGCATGGCCTTGCAGGTTGCTGTTGGGGTTGTGATGCTAATAAATTTGGAACTGCTCCTCCATCTTTTCAGTGTCAAATGCTGATCGAAGCCTGCTTGATAATGTCCAAGGTCTGAGAAACTGTTCAGAGTCAAATGTGCAGAGCAAACTAACAACTTTGAATTACAGTTGTCCAGGATCTTGTTAAGGATGTGGAAGCTAAAGTTGGCTTCCATTTCACCTTAATTGGTGCCACAGTTACATTCTGGCACCTGTACAAGCTGTAGCATTTAAGGTGGAACAGAACATTTGATTAAGATGCTGCTAAAGGTGAAGCCAACTTCAGCCTTGTTATAGATATAACATAAACCATGCCTGTTCACAGTTTGAAAGTGCCGACAGTGCCGAAAGTCCCTTCAAAACTTGGAACAGTAATGTTATATGTCTGCGCGTAGTCCGCCATTTTCTTTCCTGTTGCTGCGTTGTCATTGTATGTAAAAAGTCAAGATTATTACGTAACAATGCAATCGGCATGTTTTACTGCTCTCTTGAGCAAATGCAGGATTTGTACTGGAAGGAGGAGACAACAGTTTTATGTACTAAACTCTCCATATTCAACTATGCAAATGTAAATACAGTTATTTCATTCTATGACATCTTTAACAAAAACTTCAATTTTCGCAAAGACGTTTAATTAGAGTCTATCTAACAAACATGTTTACCACACAAAGTGCCCTAATTTAAAATAATTAATATATTTATGTTGTTTCTTTTAAATACTGCTTTTGTTATGTATTAGGTAAGCATTCTCAGCTCACAAATCACTTGCTAATTAGGTAATTATTGCACAGGAGCAACACTATACCAGCTGTTTTTTTAGCTTTAGTTAGGGCTGTCATGATCATAGAATTTTACCTAATCAATAATTGTTTAATAAATAATTGTGATTAATGATTTAATGGTCTGCTCTTTTTCATTGTTCGCAACTATTCAGATACAATTCAAAAGTTCCAAATTGGCAGACTGGCCGCCTTACTTGCCAGCTATGTTCACTTAGTAGCTAACATTGGGTGTACTGTTGAACCAACACTGTGCGCACACTCACATGTCTACAGTAACAAAGAATTGTATAGAGGTACACATTCACTCACAAGAGTGAATTAGCTACAAAGCTAACAAATAAACAAACATTACTCAGTGCTGCCCTCTAGACATGTTAGAGCACCAATTAGAACAACACACCCAATTCATTTTGTTTGTTACAGCATGATGTGACTGTGAAAAATGACTGCAGTCAGCTTAAACAACTTCAATCATCTCAAATATTTGTGATCATCTTAAACAACTGTGATTAGGCAATTATGTAATAACTGTTGCAGGCCTAGTTTTAGCTCCCTCATGTAGTAAATACTCACTGGCCACTTTATTAGAAACACCTGTCTTGGTGTTAGGCATCCTCTACCCCTTTATCACTGGTCAGTTTGTGACAACAAAACCACTCTTGGTTGGATATTTTTCGGTGCTGGAACACTCAGTGTCACTGCTGTGTAGAAAATAACATAAAATAACAGCAGTCCTGTAAACACAAACTGACCAAGGATGAATATAGTAGCTGACAAATTGTGCATGTAATTTTCCACCCATATAGTTATTATATAGACAAGATAAGTTGACCCCATAAAGTGACCTGTGAGTGGAAGTATAGGGTTCTTGCTTCCAATAAAAAGGACAATAAATATTGTTATAATAATTTTGAGTGACAAAATTTAATGTCATATCACCCTGGAGCTGTGTCTCAGTAGCTGAAAGACCCCAGATGGCTGCAGCCACTGGACAGCAGATGTGTAATGACCAGAAGAGAGCTAACACAGGGGCCATAGCTTAGTCCACTTTGGGATTGGTCAAAGAACAAGAGTGGAAACACTGGGATTGGTGGTGGAGAACGGGGCGGAGCTGCCTGCCATCTGTCACGGCAGCCTCCTCCATTCCACAGTTTCCCTGGTCAGCAGCTGAGTTGTTTATGTGACCTTCACAGCTGGACCAAATGAGATTCTGAGAAAGCCCCCCCCCACGCACACACAACCACCACCACCATCAACATTTCAGATGATCCTCTGGTGTGTATGATGGATGTGTGCAGGCAGATGTGACCAATCCATGCACCAAAGCCTTTGACAAAGCTCTTCAAGACGTTGTGGTCTTAAGTGCCCTTCGTAAAACACACATGCCTTGTCAGGCATGAAATTAGCGGCAAAATTGGCTAAGTGCTTTCCACTTTCAAGTACCATGTCTTTTGCACCCTTATGATGCAAGCATGAATCATAGCAATTCAAAAGCTCCAGCCATCTTGGGAAGCAAAGTGGGCACTGCATGTTCTCTGTCACATTGTAATAACCTATGAAATGGCACAAAAGCTGCAATTATGCAATTATAATGAAATGACGTATGGTTCTGTACTTTTCATGGGATGCTATACATGCAGTACTTTTATGCAAGGCATGAAAGTCAGAGACTGCACTTCATATATATACAATTTCCAGCCAAAACTGCCATTACATATATGTTATTCATTTTCAGGAGCTATTTCAGAGGATATCAAATAGAAAATAATCCTCTTACATAAGGAAGAGGAAAATAAGTGAAAAAATAGGGGTTTGGAGATAAACTGGTACTCCTAACAACCAAGACCTGGTAGACCACCAAAACTGACACCATCTGATAAACAGACCTTAAAGCTTTGATCTTTGAGAGACAGAAGAAAAACAAGCTTCTTCAGATCTGAAAAAAATGTTTCTGTCCATTTTTCCACTGTGAGAAGACAACTCAACACTGTGGGTCTGAAAGAATGTGCAGCTGTAACATCAATGGACTACCCACCCCCGAGGCCAGACCTCAGCATCATAGAATGTGTTTGTGATTACTTGGATTGTGAGAAGCAGAAAATACAACAAACTTCTAAGACTGAACTTTGGAGGTGTGGAAAAACGCCCCAACAGATGTCTGTGAAAAACTGAAAGCAAGTGTCCTGAAAACAATTCAAGCTGTAATAAAGGCAAAAGTGGACACACTAAACAAAAAAAATTATTTTATATTTAGTTGTTGAGAGTGTTGTGTAATTTTCTATTACACATATTTGAACTGCTTTTTCTCTGATGCTGAAAAATAAATGACTCATAGTTCAACGCCATTTTAAATGGAAATTAAAATGAAAAAGTGGCTTCTGACTTCTGCAGTGTACTGTATATTAAAATCTAGGTGCTTACCACCTGAACTGAACCTGATGGGGCCTGACAAAATCTTGGATATTGAGTTGTTTTCTCATCTAGAACATCAGGCTCAGGTTTGTTTCCTAAAATTTTTTTATGTTGTAGGACTGAGGCATCACTTTCATGCTTGTGCTGACCTCTATTCAAATCTACTCAGTTGCACAAGCAAGAAGACATTAGCCCAACCAAGCATCATAGCATTCTGCTCTCTACAGCAAGCAAGCTCATTCAAAAGATCTAATGGCCTAGATTAAACATGCAATGCTCCTTTTAGGCACTAAATTTACAAAGCAAGCCACTGTTACAAGAAAATTAACCAAGAAACACAGTGCAGACCGTACCATGTGTGAAGGATTTAGTGAAGCTTTGTGAAACAAATGCTGCTGCCCAATTTCAAGGATGTGCACATTTCATAATGGCATAAACAATCCCAGAACAAATCGCAAATCCTCTCCTGTTGTGTTGTGGTTTCAACAAAGTATCAGCATGTTACTTAAAACACATTTTGGACATGCTGTGTGCTGTGTGTTATGTAAAACCAAGAGACAGAACAGGCTGGTTCAGAGCAAACTATATTCAAATGAATTTAAAAAAGACCTATAGAGGTTCGGCTAACACATGGCATTTGAATAACCAAATCTCAAAGGCATGAACAGCACCAGCACTGCAATACAGCATGACATTAGAATGAAAAATGAAAAATTCTTAACCTACCCTTGTAGTAAAAGAGACATCGGTCTGTGAGCACGAACCAGCGCTTGTTCCACTGCTTTACACCACTGCTGGCCTGCAACAGACAATAACAGTGCACAAAACATGATAATCATCCTCATCATGCCTTTACAGACACCAAAAGTGGCAAACAACTTGAGTAGCATAAGTGTGGGTTGTGGCGTTTGGACAGTAGCAATGATTAAGCAACTGTTTGTCTTGCACTCTTATTACCTTACTTAGTACCTTCACTCACAGTGCCTCCTTTGTGTTTACTACAAAGCTAAACTGTATCTGTGGATGAGATTTTAATAAACCCTGGAAAATAGGGTCAGTTGTGAAACAGAATTCCCCCTTTAGTGTCTTGTGTAACCATCATTTGCCTGTAGCAGAATGACACCCGCCCCCATCGCCAACCAACCAACTCGCGGTCTGCTGCACCTTAGACCTACGTTCCTACGTTTTAGGCTTGTTTTTAATATTAACTGTTTTAAAGAAAACCTTTGACAAAAATCACATAGTACATATAAAATAAAAAAATAAAACACCAAGGAAACGTGCATTCATGAGCTCCTTCTGGTGTAAGTGCATGGTGACTGATGTGCTAATAGCGCCCCTTGCTAGAGAAACATCAGACTACAACACTCTAAAAAACACTAAACATGCTTTACATTCAAAAAAGAGGTGTTTTCCATCATTATACTCTAATCACTCTGGAAAGTACAGATGCTTTGATGAGATGCTTTGATGTATTTTTTTAATCATTTAAAAAATGTAACTCATTTTAACCACTGAAACACTTGAGCTATATAAATAAAATTGCATTTTTTTCTAATGATATTATGTAATTGATTTGATAACACTATCATTACAGCAAATGGTTATTGGACATGACAAAGCAATGTGTGGATGTAACTCACAAACAAACTTCTCTCCAGCCGCACCAGTAAAAATGTTGCCTAATGCTGGTACATACTGCAAGTGGAAAAAGGTGGCTTTCTGAAGAACATCTAAGTAAAATGAATTAGTATGCTGACAGCAGCCAAATAAAAACTCACTTTACGATGCACATCGACATGCTCGGCTTAGACGCCCTCATGGTTTGGCGATAACTTCAGCCTCACGTATCCTCCTTCTTTCACTCTGTTGTTAATTACCTCACTCTGCTAGTCAGCGTTCAGCAAGTACATTTCCACTCACTTATACGGATGGCGAAAACACAGCCCGTTTACACTTGTGTTAAATGTAGTCGAGATCCGTCTCTGACCACCTCCACATGTCTTAAGCCGAACACAATATGTCCTGGGGGTGTTTACAATGAAAACACATGTTGATGTAAGGTGTAAACAGGCTCTATGATGCAATGATAAAATGTTAGACCAGCTGACCTAGTCTAATTTAAGAAATAGACTACAGACTATTGAGATTATACTTGGCCTTATCACTTGATCAGGAGAAAAAAAGGAGGGGCTTCTTGCCCCAAGTTACCCTTCCTGATGATATACTTTATTGGAAATACTTACCTTGTACTTTCACTTTCTATTCTATGTCTCCTCTCCTCTCTTTTTCAAACAAGCACCTGATATTGCATCCCATGTGAATTATGCCATTGTTCATTTTCAGCCATTTAAATATTTTGCAAACTAATGTTAAAATGGGACAAAATGGCAATTAAAAATGATTAAAGTACACTCTGTGCGTGTGAAACGCTGGGTCCACTGTACAGACATACATTTAGTCAGTTTCGGATTACAGAAATGCCACTGACCAGGTATTATTTGGGTGGCAGACCATTCTCAGCACAGCAGTGACACTCACCAGTGTATCAAACACAGTGACGTTGCCGGGGTTTTTACACACATCAGCATCACCGCTGGGTACAGAGTGGTCTGTCACCAAAAAATACCCTACCAAGAGCGGTTCTGTGGTCAGAAACTGACCGCTAATGAAGAGCAGCAGGGCTAACACAAACTGTGCCACAGCCTCTAACAGTACACTATAAAAGTGAAGCTACAAAGTAGCTGTTTCTAATAAAGTAGCCAGTGAGGGAGTATAATAACAGTAAAGTTGAACTAATCTGAAGTGGACAGAAGCTGGTGTGAATGTAGAGACTATGTTCAGCACAGAACTGCAAGCAGAATGGAATTATACCTGCTTATGGAGCCAGCCCTGCTTGGTCACCTCAGCCTTGGGGTTGCGGCGCATGGAGTTGGAGCGCTTCCCGAAGGTGGCAGCTTTCTTGGGCGTGCGCGAGGCCTGTTTGGAGAGAGGGACAGTAGAGTGTTTATGTAAAGTCACGGCCTTGTGAAATAGCCAGACACAGACACAACAATACTCGGGTGCTCTGAATGATGAGAGTTCACAGAAGTGGATTGAAACTATAAACAAGCTTGATGTCTTTCGAAGTTGCAGACTACACAATATTTAGCTCATTTGTGAAGTTATATAAATCACTGAAAACACTGTTTTCCAGTCCTGCTCTGGGATTTCCCCTGAACTGTGTGGTTTAGTGTTTTCCCTGCTCTAACACCCCTGATTCAGCACACAAAGGCTTTCTTAATTAGCTGGTGAGTTGAGTCAGATTTGTTAGGACAGGACAACACTACAATGTGCCTTGCAGGGGTACTCAAACACACTAGGGCTGAGACACACAAACATAAAAGGCCCATATTCTACTTTTTTCTTGTATTTTATTTTTTAAGTCCACGTAACATAACATTTGTGTGGTTTAATGGACCAACAAAGAGTCATAATTCACCACTCTTTATCCTTCAGAACAGGGGTGTCAGACTCAGGTCCTGGAGGGTCAACGCATTCATACTTTAATGTTTTCCCTCTTCTAACATGATGAATTCATTTATAAACCTTGCTAATGAGCTGAAGAGTTGAATTAACTGTAATAATTGAGGTGGGATGCTAAACGCTGCAGGGCTGTGAGTCTGAAACCAAGGATATCACTATTCTTTGCTACTATGAAACATGATTGCTTTAATGTCAGTCCGTCCTCGGCTTGAATGTGCCTACAATAACAGGTCTGTTTCACTAACTAGGATAACTACTCTAACTGACGTTAGCTAGCTCCAGAAACAATGAATATAGATTTCTCTGACAAATAACATGTTGGCACATTGTCCACTGAGAAAATAATGCCTTGTGTAGACGATTTGTGTTCTGATTGGTTGCCCTGCATCATGCCTCATTAAAAGAGTTCAAAGATGTGAATGCTTCTGTAGGCTTCACTGATATATTTGCTTCCTGACAGCCAGGAACAGCACAACATTTAATCATTTTCCCCTATATCTTCCACTTCAGCAACTTTTTCTCCAGACTGTCTGCAGTAACAACACTCTTTATCACATCAGTGCGAATGGAAAGGCTACACTGCTGTATATGAAATGGGCAAATGTGTTAATGGTTGTGACATTTTGAAGTGTATGAAATATTTTTCTCTGACAACTAACATGTTGGCACATCGTCCACAATGCCTTGGGTAGAAAACGAGTTCTCATTAGCATGCAATGTGACACTTCTTAGCCCTTTAAACTCATTAGCTTATCTGAAGAGGCAGAATCTGTTACTCATCCAACACTTATCTGATGTCCCTTAGCTGTTTTGAATAATACAACATGCTCCTCTGCATACTGCTATATTTCTGTCCAACACCAGTGTTGTCACTTAAAAAGGTAACTACAGTCCAATGTAACTTTAAGTCAAAATTTTTGTTGTTCATTTATTTTGTTCCCTGCTGTTAACCCGTTTATGAATTCTTATGGATACTCAAATATCAAAATTAGTTTGAATGCACATTCTGATTTGAAAAACCTTGACTTTTTTGTTTCCTGTGCCTTTAAGAATTATATAAGTAGATGATCTGTGTTCTGACTGGTTCTGCCTCATTAAAAGAGTTCAGATGTGAATCCCTCTGTAGGCTTCACTGATATATTTGCTTCCTGACAGCCAGGAACAGCACAACATTTAACGATTTTCCCCCATATCTTCCACTTAAATAACTTTGCTACAGACTGTCGGCAGTAACGACAGTCCTTATCACATCAATATGAATGGATGGGCTAAACTGCCGTATATCAAATGGGCATTCATATGCAAATGTGTTTGTAAAAATAAGATAGTTACAAGGAAATGTATTGGTTTTCATGACATCACAGTCATGAACAGTGAATTCAAAATGGGCTGGTTTTACACCTTCATTGCATATGGGTCAATGATGACTAAATTTTGTGACGACTAAATTTTCTGTCCAACAGCATTTTTTCAGTTTAAAAAAGGTTTAAATGCAGAAAAAGATACTATATATATGTAGTACCTCTCCCACATAACTGCTCACTGCTCATTTTAAAATATCGGTTAACTGTAATTTTCCTGTTACTTAAAGGGTCAAAATATCATGTGGTGTGACCGTCCGGCCATGACTGCTGTTTTGAAACTTCTTTGAAATTACTCTAAACCTATTCATTTTTATTTTTTATCCCATTTGGCATGATTTCCAAAGTGTTTTGTTGTCCTGTTCAAAACTGCAAAGCATTTCTAATTTTATTTCCATCGTAATACACAAACAAATTTTGTCCCATGATGTCTGTTTTATAAAATATCATGTGGTGTAACCATCAAGAAACGACCACTTTGGGACCTTTATGTTAAAACCATCTCAAAAACAGGAGATTACATCATATAGCAGTTTGCCAAGGGCCCATGGAAGCAGTAAGCAGATTTGTAAGTGTCTCTGAAATTTGGGAAAAAATAACCTTTTTAACAGCTGCCATGTCACTGCCACATTTGTACATCATGTGGTTTGACCTCAAAAAAATAATGGATATTAAAATTATATACAAATAAATATTTTCATTATATATTTCGTTGTTACCTTTTGTGGAAAGCTATCTTATTTTCTTTCGATGGCCAATTCTGTTCTGGTAAACTTTGACTGAACTTGAAAACATCATGTGGTGCGACCAAATATCATGTGGTGCGACCAAATATCAAGTGAAAAAGTTTCTTCAGTTCTACCTGAAAAAATTACTTCGTGGTAACAATTGAATTAGTTGTGCTCAACTTCTTACGATTTACTTTGATTTAAAAAAAACATTCACCAAAGTAATTGTTTAGTTAGTAAAAAAAATGTTCATTTACTTGTTACCACATTAAGTATTTCTTTAGGTTTAACTAAGAATCTTTTTTACTGTGTACCAGAGAAAAATGGCAAGGAAAGGTTCCATAGGTAAAAATAGTATAACAGAAATAGAATTTGTCCTGTTTTGTCGCCCACTTTTACAAATGCGGGATTTGCATTTGAAGGAAGAGACAACAGAGTTTGAGCTTTGTGTGTCAGGTTCATGTACCAAACTTTTCTTATTCAACAATTTCAATGAAAGTACAGTTTTCAATTTTATCACCTTTAAACTCAGCGTACAAACAGAAATTCATGTCCTAAAATTCACAGGAACATGTCATATTTGAGCGTGTTTGCTGTAGGAGATGTGTTAACTTATTTTCACATTTGCATATCATTGTGCAGCACTAAAATTCCTTTCTGTCAACACATTGTTAATCACTGACACAGTATGGTTGAGTTAATGCGTTTACTCGCGCAAGGTCCCGTCTCAAAGCACACTATCTTCCCTATGTAGTGCACTTCGTTGATCATGAAATAGCAAATCCTTCACCCAAAGAGTGCATGAAATGTTTGACTAAGTCATCTATAATCAACATTAACAATAGGTTACAAATTCCCTATTTAAAACTCAACTGCTTGTTAATGATGATCATGTTTGTTTGAACAGTAGCGCACTATGTAGGGGACATTGAGTGATTTGAGACGGTGTTATTCTCTTCTCAGAAAGTAAACACTGCAAGCGAGACGAGAAAGGAGAACTTTTGCAGCGTCTCGTTCCAGAGCTTGTGTGACTGTTAACTCAGAGCTCATTTTGGAGACACTGCTCCACAGAAATATGTGTTAAAAGCTTTAGTTTCGATTCACAGTTGTTGTTTTTTTTTGACGCTAAAAGCTTCATTTTATATTATTAACGAACCATAAGCATAAGTTAAACCTCACAAACCGTGACATTTCTTCTATTTCGAAGTCCCCACAGACTTCTACGTTAAAGTTAACCTTGTATTCTCTAAAAAGTAGCGGGTGGTGGTCGCGAAGATGACTCGTAAGGTTTGATGTGTTGATCCCTTTCGCCGCTATTTTCTTTCGGCATGTTCTGCAGACAGGGTGGTCATCTTCAATTAACTTTCCTTCTGCATCCTTATAAAACCCAAAACATGACCAAATGTCAGACTTGGTCTTCTTAGAAGGCTGAAATATCTCAGAATCTCTGTCACTACATTCCACCATGTTCTCCCTTCTCTCCCTCTCCCCCTCCCCCTCTATACACACACAGAGCTGCATATGAGAGAATGATTCTGCCTTAGTTTGACTCTGTACAGCGAGTTTTTCACACCGCGGTAATCGACCGCGGTTTTAACGATACTTTAAAGTTCAAACGGTACTACTAACCGTCATTAATTTTACCGCGGGTTACCGTGAAACCGGTAACCATTTCATCTCTAATATGGCCCCTTTAAATAATGAAGCACCTCCAAGCTTATTTTCTGGACATTTTCATTCTTTGCTTGCTAGACAGTCTGAATTGAAAATTTATTTTAGGCCTACAGTGGGCTCGGTCTGTACCCTAAAAGCTAGCCACAGTTTTTCTCCACTGTGTATTTTAATCTTCAACAGATCCATCGTTTTTATTGCATCTATGCTGTGTATTTTTTCAGCCTCTGCTCTTGCTTCTCTGATGAATGCTGATGTGACGTGGCGGTAGTACTGACCCGTGAGTGGTTCTGGGCCTCCGAGGTGGGTTCGGACACCATACTGAGGTTGTTGGCATTGCTGTTGGCCTCGCCGGCGCTGGTCATCGGCCCTCTGCCACCCGCCTTGCCATTCATGTCCGTATCAGAGCTCCTGTGAGCACAGAAATTCAAGCACTCAGCTATTTCCTCATCACTTCAGCTCATGTAGAGACTGTTCTCAAACTAACAGACAGAGCAGCTGCATCATGGGAGAGGGGGAACACAAAAACAAACAAAAAAATACAAAAACACAGAAGGACTATGGGAAGCAAGCAGACGTGCACACATGGAGCCGCTATTTTTATCTCCCACTGGCAAAGACACAAGGCCGCACCCCAGAGGCTGCAGTTTAAAAACAGGCGATGGTTTAGAAAGAATGTGATTGGAGTGGAGAGCCCAGAAGAGAGAGGGATGAGAGAGAGACAGAAAGAGACAGGGCCTGCAGACTGCATATGCTTGCCTGCAGTCCCTGTTCAATGGTATTGATCTCTGCTCTGGACTTTCCAGGCTCTCTCGAGAAGCCATTGATCCGCTGACCAGCAAGACGGACAAATTTACAACCAACTCTCCAGAGCTTACAAGCTATTCAGACCTTCGCTTTAGAAGAGCACTGTAATATGAGCTTCAATACATAGGAGCAGATTTACATACAGTAGATCTACAGCTGTAACTCGTAGCCATTTCCCAAAATCTATGCAGATCATTGCTGTCATAAGAAAGCCTTATAATCCAATTTTTTTCATGGCATGAAAAAAAAACAGTTGTCCTTTACATCAGACAAGCATGTCATGACGAATGAACCAACCAAAGTGGTTCAAAATCACATGTAATCTCTTTACACTGCATTATGTAAGATGTTTTGGTTAAAATTGAAATAAGTAGCATTACTGAATGAGAGGCGTTGAGTCAGATTTCAGAGTTTTTCAAAGCATGTCATACATGTTTATGCATCAACAGGTTTTCTTGCAACACTGACAATATGGAACATGTTTAGTTACACACAACATGTCACAGACTCCTAAGCAGTTAAATCATTAAAGCAATCAGATGCACACACAGTGTTAATGATCATTGCACTGGTACGTAATCATGCTCATACAGAAAACATCACTAAGCTAATAAGCTCAGGTTAATTTAAGCTTAGCTGCAAAAAGCAGCCACGTTTCACCAGCTCCCAGTGTTGGAGTAGGAAATTAATTGCCTCAGACCCATCAAGGACCTTTAGTGGCATCACACTTTATTAATGTGCTGTGGACCTACAGCCCTGTATTGATCCTTGTCAGCACACAGACGATGAGAAGTGGGTGTACTGCTTCTATGCAGAGTGAACAATACTTTAAACATCAAGATTTACTGCCCCTCTAAAGAAACTGAGGTACATTGTATTTCACTTCATGGAATATATATGAAAATACTAGATTTTGTTCGAGGTAATTTACCCTAACAGGGTCCTGTTTGTTTGTATATTCATTAGGGGTATTATAATATGCATATTCATATTCATTCTTCACTGGTTACAGGATAATATGTCCTATAAATCAAACACAGTTTTAATTTTATGCTAATTATCAAACACTGACAAACTGGTTCTAATATAAGATATATGAGACTTATATTAGACTGTTCTATTGTAAAACATTGTTCTATTGGCTATCGATGTAGCACTGTAATGTACATTACTGTGCAGAAGTCAAAGACCACCCTTTATTTACATAATTTCCAGTCAAAACAGCCATTAAGCATGGGTTATTCATTATCTGGGTCAGGAAGACAGCTGAAAACATCCATACAAAAGAACAGACTTAATATTACTTAATATAACTTAATGGCTGTTGACTGGAACTTACATAAACAAAAGGGTGGTCTCTGACTTTTATACAGTCCTATAGAGCATTTTTCCCTTCTTTACATGACATTTTGCCGAAACCACATGTGAAAGCAATGTGTCATATACATTCATTTATTCATTTACATTTAAAACTGTGTTATATTGTGACGCGAAGACTGGAAAACATTTCATACAATCTGTGTATCATTAACACCCCTGATATTCATGTATTAGCATGCATGTTATTGAATGACGCTACTGAGTAGATGCTATTTTATAGCTACTGACAGCCATACAGAACTGATCTGGGTGCCAAGACTGGCCGTAACTGATCCTGTGCCAACATTTTGACAGGCCTGAGTTACAGTCCACGCAGTAACAGTCACTCCTCTCCTCTCCTAACACACTGTAAACCTACACGCACCTTCACCCTCTTCAGAACAACACAAAATAGGCTACCTTTTTCCCAGGTGACAGCCGGGATCAAAGACACCTGGTGAAACCAGGATCCCTTTGGGTTTTCCCTCTGCTGTGTGACATTTTGTCTGTGCACATGTATATGTGTGTGTGACACACTCCCTTGGCTCTTGTCGTCTCAACGGACAACCTGGATGTTTTATTCATTTGGAAAGAAGTGCTATGCTTTCAGGCGAGCTATAACGGTTTTTACACAGTCGGCTGTTTATTCAGGACTCTGTTCATTCATAAAAGCTGGTCCTAAACTGACAAAACATGTCAATACAACGTAGGATCATATTTATAGCTCTGACCCATGTCAGAAATACCTATTACTATCACAATATGAGTTTGTAACAATCGTTAAGGGCTGCAAAAACAGAGCAGAACACATTATCTCACATGCATATTAGATAACCTAACGAGTGCTATCCTGTGCTGGGCTTAAACCCTGCTCTCCCACAGAGACAGCGAGCAACTTAACCATTCGGCTAAATAGCTAGTTAGCGCATAGCTCAAAAACTACTCTATCCTGAACAACAAACTGAAATCCTAAAAACAGAAAGCAGTGATTAGTACATTCTGTTCAACCTGTATTAAAACCACTACAAAAACAGGATATTTGATGTTTTACCTTATGACCTTTGTTTGTTTGTAAATATATGCTCAATCCAAATTTAAAGCCTGCAACATGTTTCAAAAATGTTGGGACACGAGCATCACCTTTCCTTTTAACAGCATTTAAAAAAACGCTTAGGGACTGAAGACACCAACTGTTCCAGTTTTGAAAGTACAATTTTTCCTCAATAATACAAGCGTCCAGCTGTGCAAATGTAGGGGCCTTCATTGTCATATTTTGCACTTCATAACGCATAACATGCTTTCAATAGAACAGCATAGTTCTTTATGTCTTTGGCCCATTATTTTCATAAACAATCTCAAAAGTGGATTTGATGGGCCACAATATTTGTTTTGACTGTGCATTAGTCCATTTCAGATGAGCTTTAGCTCAGAGAAGTCGGCAGCGTTTTCTGGACGTTGTTGATATATGGCTTCCACTGTAAATAATATAGTCTTAATTGCATTTGTGGATGCAGTGACAAAAAGTGTTTATTGACGATGGTTTGACAGAGTATTCCCAAGCCTGTGTAGTGATATCCATCACAGAAGTATGACAGCAGAAGCATGCCGCCTGAAAGACAGAAGTTCACGCACATTTAGTTGTAGATTTGGGCCTTGCTTTTTACGCTTTTTACAAGATTTTTCCAGATTTTCTGAATCTTTTTATGCTATTATGCATCGTAGAAGATGAAATACCTAATATCCTGCTAAATGCTCATTGAGAAAATTGTTCTTAAACACTTGAACTATTTGCTGAAGCATTTTCTGACAAAGCAGAGTCTCAACCCACCCTTGCCTAGATGCTCCTTTTATACCCAAACATGATTACATTACCTCTTTTAAAAGGTTTATGAAACTTTAACTACATTTCTAGTCTTAAATTGACTTTTTTGAAATGTGCTACAGGCATCAATTTCAAAATGAGCATGTATATACAAAAAAAACAATAAAGTTGATTAGATAAACATTAACTAATGTAATTTAAAATGCACAGACTGTATGGTCAAACATACTGCAGTAATGGCTTCTGTCACAACAAATCATAAGGGTTTTTTTAAGGAACTAAAGGTAATTTAATTCAGTTTTGTACGCCAATATTGAAAATAAAAACATTTATATACTGATGTATTTTTGAAGCCTGATTGTAGTGTACAGTCCTTATTCACCCTTCAAGTGCACAGAAATGTGCTTGTAGTTCTGATGTAAGTAGCTATTAATATCATTTTCATTTCACCAAGCATTAAAATGTGCTTTTGCTATTTGCTTTAAGGAAAAGTTAGATTTCTGTGTACATAGCAACAAAAAGTATTTTTCAATCATCATGATATCCAACAGCTTTATCAAATATTGCATTCTATGTCCACCTCATACAGCTCTACTGTTTAGTAACCATGACGAAAAATGAGTGTTACAGAAGCAAAATATTCAAATCCTCAAAATAGTGTCCAAACTTCAGAAGCTCTCCTTTACATATTTAGCATTCATTACTACCATTCTAATAAAAACAGACTGTTATCCTTCTTTGATAGGCAACTGTGGCAGGAAGTGTAAGAAGCTTACTAATATCTACTAGCAAAATGCTATTTCATTTATTCATAACTTGAGGATTCTTTGTAGAACAGATCAGAAAACATCAATCCAGATTTAATATGTACCGATCAGCCACTAATGTTGGATCCAGCGATCAGTACACATCAGTGCAGACTTAATATGTACTGATCGTCCTCTACAGCCATCTGCAGGAGTGAAGGTGGAAAAAAATAAAAAAGCATTGCACACTCACGGCAGGGATTTCTGGAACTGTCCGTTTTCTTCTAGACGAGTATGGATCACTGGGTGCCCAGCTGGCCCATTCGGGTCATTCTGGCTGCAAAACATAAAGCAAAGAAACGACAGAGTAAATGTGTTGTTGTAAGCTCCATCACACTTTTCCACACCAGCCACAACAATTCTTTAAAACAGCACTGCAGAGTTAGCCAACATGTTTAATAATTCAACAGCCAGGGTTACAACATTACACCCAAATCAATACATATACACCTCATCGTGTGTGTCGTATGTGTGTGTGACGACTACCGTTACAGAGAGGAAGGTTAACCAGACGGTCTACTGAATAAATATTTGAAATAAAACTAAACATGAAACTGGGGTAGGCACGAACATCGTACTGTCCTTATACTGTGTAAACAATTATCATATCTTATATAGTCTGTTCAGGCCTAAAGAAGCCTGCTCTGCTTCTGACTTGCCAAGCAAGTCCTACTTCAGCCTGAACATGGTATCATGCCCCACTTTGAGGAAGCGTCACACTTTCAGATAGGATACAGTCCAGGGACTTCTGCACTTGCTCGTTTCTCTTGTGTCTAAACTACAAGTGCTCCTGTCTTGTATGCAGCAGGGTTGCTTCATAGGCATTGATTTCACTCCCACTGAAGTTGTAGAAGTGAGCAGATCTTCCTTCCTGCATTGTTACAGAGCCGGTTTAACCTGCATCCCACTGTGATACAATTGTATGCAAAAATTTGAACACTCTCAGTCAAATTACACATTTTGGTGATTTTGCTGAAAACAAGTTACCACATCCCCCACATCCATTTAACAACCTTAAATATGTTTATTTTATTTTTTTTTGCAAAGGTTAGCACACAATTTCTGTTTGCTGAGTTTATCATACTGGAAGCAATAAAACTTAAAATACAAAATAACTTCTGCCTGACACGTTTTCTGCATGACATTTTTTCTAAATATACCAAATTCAGCTAATAAACAGTAATTTTACATTAAAATGTGCAGGAGTACTTAGAAAACTAACGAAATGTGTAATTTGACTGGGGCACTCAAACTAGATTAACTAGAGCCCCACTGCAACAACATTAATGGGCCCCCTATATGAGCATTACCTTAAAATTAAAAATTACAGTGTATTTTGCTTGTTTACTCACTTTTGCAATGTCTCAACCTGCTTAACCCACTTAATGCTGAAGCATATTATTAAGTTATCACAGCTTGTACACAAGAAGCCTAAAAAACAATATAAACACTATCGGTAGTTACACCACTCACATGATCATTAAAAAAACTGGGTAACACTGTTTTTGAAGGCTATCTTCACAGGAACCTCATAACACAAGCATAAGCACTCAATAACTGATTATTTATGAACAGCTTATGCCAGTAATCACAAGATGACATAAGACATTAAAGAAGTAAATCACACTGCATTGACTAAACAGGCCTTAAACCAAAGTGAAAGACACTTATGTTATGAAGCATCATTTCAAGTCACATAGAGCAGAGGCCTAGTTAAGAACACTATATATCAGTTCTATGAATGATTTTGATACCCTTGGACATGAGAGATAATTTTCACACATATGTTCCCCTGTGTGAATATACATGTGCATACAGTTGTATGCAAAAGTTTGGGCACCCCGCTCAAATGACACATTTTGTTGAATTTCTAATTGAAAATAAGTACACACCCTTTTGTACAATTGCATAATTACTGTTGCCTGTGGCATATAATATGTGGCCTGTGCAAATTTTAGGTTCTTTACTAGGTCTCTGCTTTGCAAGTTTCATAACACTGCTTCATAACAGTGTTATAAATGTCTGTCACATAAGTCCCCCTATGTCAACATGTCATTTACTGCATGAAATATCTTAAGTCATCATGTGATTACTGGGATAAGCTTTTTTAAAAAATTCTAGAGTACTACTTTAAAAATATGTTATCCAAGGAAGTCCCTATCAAGGTAGCCTTCAAATAAAATGTTACCCTTTTTATGATATTGTCTAATAGCTTAACTAAACATTGCTACTTATGCGATTTTATACCCAAAACTCATGGGTAACTATGGTAATGATATGCTTCAGCATTAACGTACTAACTTGTTTGAAACATAGCATTAGTGAGTAAACAAGCAAATTTCACTGTAATTTTTAATTTATTGAAAATAATATAGGTAGCACATTAATGCCAAATAATGTTTTTTTTTCTCAGAGGCCCATAAGATACTAGTTACCCCTGGTAACCCTGGTACCCTTGTAACCCCTATCTCTACAGAGAACAAATTTCTGTACATTTTAATACACAATGACTGTTTATTTGCTGAATTTAACATACTGATGAAAAATGAAACTTAAAACGTGGACTCTGCAAAAGTTTTTACATTTTATGTTTTACTTTTGACATTTTATGTTTTATTGTTTCTGATATGTTAACTCAACAAATAAAGAAAATGTGCACTAAAATTTGCAGAAAAAATCATATTTTTTCAATCTTCCCTGTAGATGATATGTTAAAGGTAGCCTTCAGATAAAGGGTTACAAAACTGAAAATTTATAGTCTGAAGAAGATGGAGGCTGACACGAGTAAAGTGAAGTGCTATTTGCATTCACTGCCCTAACAATAATCAGCTATCGATTTTTGTACATAACGCACTGAGAACATCCCATAAAGGCACCATGTGCCGCCGACTGGTTCATTAGGAAAGAAAGAACTCAGCAAATCGTGCTCCCCTGTTTCTCTTCAACAGGGGACCAGCTAGTTAAGGGTGTAAATGATGATGTTTCAGATTCAAAGTGAACTGAAGATGTTTTTTTCTGTTCTCCCTTTAACTTTCTGAAGTTTACGAGAGGTTTTGGAAGTATGTGTAGGCCTGCATGCCAAATTCTTGGCACTGGTTGCTCACTGCTCGGGATAATACAAGCACTAGCTGTCTGGGCAGTCTCCTAGTCTACACACATACACTCTGAGAGATAGGTAGAGGACAAGAGACAGCAGCCAGGAATACAGTCACTCTTAAGGCATGTACCTCCAACACATGCTATCCTTTGCACCCAGCGCAACCTAGAAAAGTAGAACAGCAACACATGGACGAATCTAGCCACTGGCCACTGAGCAGACTGAGGTATGTGTACGTGACGTGTGCTATGGTCCTCTTAGGTTTTTGCAACTGAGCATGCTTGCTTGTGCATAACCCACAAACCTACATAGAGGGTCGGAACAGCTCCCTGCGTAGGAGAATCAAAATCATAATAGCACAGATAGCTTAGCGACAGCAATCTCACAAGTATATGTTAAAGCAATTTCAAGCTAATTTGACAGCACTCAAATTAGCATATTTTACTGCTGGACTCGAACACATGGCCGTCACTCCGCCAGTCAGACTGAAGTAATACCACACCACCACCCACATAAACACACATACAAAACAGATACACCATGCTGAGATACAAACATCCGTAAGATTTCCTATAAAAGCCCGGGATGTCTCCCTCCAGCACTGCATTGCAGTCCTGCCTGACCTCCAGCTCAGCTGCTATAAACTTCCCCGCTCTCTCCCTCAATCTCTCTCTCTCTTGCTCTCTCTCTTTCCACCGTCCTCCTGCAAAGCGCGCCTTGCACGTCCCTGCCTCACCTACCTGACTCTCCGGTCCGCTCGGAACTTCAGCATTTTCCCCTGGATCAATCATATAACGTGCGCAGTGAGCACCAGCTGGCCGGAAAAACAGAGAGAGAGGGAGAGAGCGAGAGGGAGAGAGAGAGCAGCTGGCTTGCGATGCCAGAAAAGACTTTATTGCTGTCGCTGTAGGGTGTTGCATACAATAATTGCTGTCCTCCTTTTCTCTCCTTGAGAAACGTATGCTGTACCTAGCCAGCCTTTCTCTCTCTCTCTCCCTCTCTCTTTCTCTCTCTCTCTCCTTGCTCTGCCTCTCTCTCTCCTTTCCTATCCTTTGCTCCCCCTCTCTATATCTCCCTCGTGCTCTCCTGCCTTGCCAGAAGTGCTCGGCTCAGCTTGTTTGGTCCCTACCACTGTCCGTCTCTCGCTCTTTCTCTCTCTCTCTCTCTCTCGCCCCTTCTAGCTCTACCTCTCTCATCCTCCTTTCATTCGTTTCCCACAGGAGTGACTGACACAGAAGGACCAAGGCAAGTAGGGGCCTTCGAATCAGAGGGCAGAGATGTGTGTGTCCTCAGCTTCAGCAAGGAGCCACTAGGGACGGTCATTACCAATGACCCATAGGTGCCTCATAGTAGTCCCATAGGAGAGCAATGACAGCGCGGGCTAAAGGCAGAACGTGGAAGAGGCGGGGCAACTGGAAAGGGGGGGGCAACGTTAGCCATTCAGGTGTTCTGCTTCACATTACGACCCTCCCCACTCCTCATCTTACCCAGATACACACAGACAAATGGAGGTACTCGCACACCGCTCTCAGCCCCACAATAATTAGATCAACGTTTTATATGGAGGCAACCTCAGCATTAAAACTGCAAAGCAAAGACCACAGGCATATTAAAATGTCACTGTGTCACAAATATTCATGGCGGACATATTTTAATCATGTCTCGAGGCATCCTATCAGCCATTTCCTCTCTATTCTGAAGATGGTATCTTTTATGATCTTTTAAATCACAGATTTCCATCTCTGTAAGGGCAAAGTAAGAGTATGAGTATTAAAGCAAAGATGGAAACGGTTACTGCCCTTGAAAATAGCCAGTGCCCTTGATTTACACGCTCAGAATGCAAAATGTAGTATTCTAGTTTGCATCCACAGTGACTAATAAAGTGACGTAAATCAGCATCCATGGTGACTAATAAAGTGCCAGAAATCAGCAGTAACAGATATCACTTGTTACAAGGAACTTCTCTAGAAAATGTGGACATAAAGTTATAGAGAGGACTTCAACACTGAGAACTGGCTTCAGCTAAATGAGGAAGAACTGTTAAAAGTGGTTAATAAAAGTCTAAATGTCATGTCATACAGAAACATGAAAGAACGTCTCAGCTCATTCCAAATTCAGAGTGGCTTTCTCTGGCCTTCACAGTGGCAATGTCAAGAAAAAAACCACATGCACTTCTATGT